GCACTAACTCTGCAGCAGCACTTCTTCTTCGTCGTCTCGTCTGATGCGCTCACTCAACCAAGGGTTCTTACCACGAGCTCGCCCCCCCACCCCCCCACCATTCACATTTCTGTAGGCGGGAATTATGTGTAATGAAATTCTAATGAGCCGCTTTGTGACATCACAAAGCCCGGAAACCAAACGCTGTAGTCCAAACGAGCCGTTCGTTGTAGTTCTTGAAAAGGGATTTTTAAAAAATTAAATATCTCCCTTTGGAGTGGACTTTGAGATTTGTAACTTTCTAGATCTTTTTTATGCCCAAACATACACACTACACACTGACTAAAATTAAAAAAGTGAAAATGTACAAGTCATTGGTGTTTGGTTTTTTTGTTTTGTTTTGAGTTCTAACACACACACACTTAACACAAACAAACACAATCACTTAACACACAAGCACACACTCAAACAAACACACAACCACACACTTAACACAAACGCACACACTCTTAACACACAAACACACACGCACACTCACTTAACACATAAACACACACTCAAACAAACAAACACACACACACACAGTCACACACACAAACTCACTTAACACATAAACACACACTCAAACACACACACTCACACACACACAGTCTCACACACAAACTCACTTAACACAAACACACACTCAAACAAACAAACACACACACTCACACACACACAGTCTCACACACAAACTCACTTAACACAAACACACACTCAAACAAACAAACACACACACTCACACACACACAGTCTCACACACAAACTCACTTAACACAAACACACACTCAAACAAACAAACACACACACTCACACACACACAGTCTCACACACAAACTCACTTAACACAAACACACACTCAAACAAACAAACACACACACTCACACACACACAGTCTCACACACAAACTCACTTAACACAAACACACACTCAAACAAACAAACACACACACTCACTTAACACATAAACACACACTCAAACAAACAAACACACACTCACTTAACACACAAACTCTTAACACACACTTAACACAAACACACACACTCACTTAACACACAAACACACACACTCAAACACTCAAACACACACTCACTTAACACACAAACTCTTAACACAAACACACACACTCACTTAACACACAAACACACACACACACACACACTACAAACACACACTCAAACAAACAAACACACACTCACTTAACACACAAACTCTTAACACATAAACACACACTCAAACAAACAAACACACACTCACTTAACACACAAACTCTTAACACATAAACACACACTCAAACAAACAAACACACACTCACTTAACACACAAACTCTTAACACACAAACACACACTTAACACAAACACACACACTCACTTAACACACAAACACACACACACTCACTTAACACAAACACACACTCAAACAAACAAACACACACTCACTTAACACACAAACTCTTATAACACAAACACACACTCAAACAAACAAACACACACACTCACTTAACACATAAACACACACTCAAACAAACACACACACTCACACACACACAGTCACACACACAAACTCACATAACACAAACACACACTCAAACAAACAAACACACACACTCACTTAACACATAAACACACACTCAAACAAACACACACACTCACACACACACAGTCACACACACAAACTCACTTAACACAAACACACACTCACTTAACACACAAACTCTTAACACACAAACACACACTTAACACAAACACACACACTCACTTAACACACAAACACACACACTCAAACAAACAAACACACACTCACTTAACACACAAACTCTTAACACAAACACACACACTCACTTAACACACAAACACACACACACTCACTTAACACAAACACACACTCAAACAAACAAACACACACTCACTTAACACACAAACTCTTAACACATAAACACACACACAAACAAACAAACAAACACACACTCACTTAACACACAAACTCTTAACACAAACACACACTCACTTAACACACAAACTCTTAACACACACTTAACACAAACACACACACACTCTTAACACACAAACACACAAACACACACTCTTAACACACACACACTCACTTAACACATAAACACTTTCCCAATACTTTAGGCAATATAGTGTATGTTTGTTGCGGTAGGGGGCCCTGGTGCAGTTGATCGTTTTATTTCAGTTAACTAGCCAAGTAAAGGTTTATCGTTTTATTTTTGCATGTTTACAGGGGTCATAGCATAGCATACATGCACTTTTACAAGTAGTTTGAACTGAAATGTGTGTTGGCAGTGTGTACACAACCACCCTATAATTCCAGAGATCTACATAAATGCGTCTATGTTTGCGCAAATCATTCGTGATCCAGCCTCATCTACAGAAGAAGTGAGTGTAAGGTTTGCAAATCGCCTTTCCTAATAATGTGCTAATTAGCAAGTTTCACGATGAATGCGGCTGAAGTAAACAGTCTCTCTGAGAGCAGCTCGGAAGAGAGGGGCGGAGTCAGCAGAGCTCATTAACATTTAAAGGGAAATGCTACAAAACGGCTTGATCTGAAAAGAGCTGTTTTTGACCAGGTAAAAAAGGTGTTTTTACACTACCATTGAGAAATTTTAACCAAACTATGTTACAGACTTTTCATTAAGACCCTAAAGAATCATATCAACTTGTGGAAAATGGGCATCCGATGACCCCTTTAAAACTTGGAAGTAAAATCGGTCGTTTAGACACTTGATAATGCAAAAATAAAAGATAAAACTTTACTTGGCTAGTTAACTGAAATAAAACGATCAACTGCACATACCTCTGCTGAATCGTAACTTGAACGGTGGTCTCGCGATTCATACGCCCACAGTGGGTTATGATTGGTCGACTGACAGGCTCAAATCTGATTGGCTAAAGAGTACGAGTGTCTCGCGTGGGAGGAGTTAGCTGCCAGGAAAGTCTCAAAAATACACACACAAATCCAAGGCCATTCACAGTCAGCCCATGATAAACTCGTGAATTTTAAACATTCAAAAATGTTGTACACAAATGTTTTGCATTTGTGAAACGTATTTTATGAATATATATTCACGTGAATTTATTTAATTTTTTCGTGCACGTGAATTATTTCTCATGCATGTGAATTGGTTTATGCATGTGTGCATCGCATCTTTTGCGTGAATTATTATTGAGATACCCGCACTTGCAGTCTTTGCACTTGACCAGTTCTATGACGTATTTCCTGTATTTGGTTCAAGTGAGCATGAAGACCACAAGTGTGTGTCGAACTTTTCATTACCTGATGGGACACACTTATAGTGTTGTACAAATGCAAGTGTTTACATAGCTTTATTTTTATTTTCAATACTTTGTTTTTAGACATTTGAACTGGAAAATTCATTCCTTAAATTTTCTTCATTTGCTCTTAACCCCATCGAAAATGAGCTTGTAAATCTCTCATTTTGCTATATATATATATAAAAAACGTACACAGGTTCTGTATACAATTATTCTAGGCCTCATTGATCTGAGCTCACTTTTTGAGTGAAAAAGCATTATTTGTGGATAACTTTGGCAATGTTCACTCATAAACAGAGACCGATGAGTAGGGTTGGGTACCGAAACCCGGTACCTATGTAACCGGTATGTACTAGAACCGAATCCGAACGCAGATTTCGGTGCCATGCCTGAGCGATCGATTGAAATATTTCTCCTCTGGTTCTCCGAAACGAACGTAAGAAGCATCATCACCGGCACCGCACGTGAAAAATAATTCCCCGACTGAGAAAACACACGTGAACTCAAGTCGGAAAGCTCTAATAATACAGATCCAACACATCTTTGTAGTAACGAGAGTGTCCATGTTGTTTTCACCTTCCGATTTAAAAGCAGAGCTCGGGAACTGAGAGCATCGAGGAGCGCGTGAATGCAGTAATTACACTTGCTCTGATGCCTTCCGTTAACTAAGCTAAACATGCTTAAATTAAAATGCTTAAAGCTAAACCTCCCTTGCATTCACATTTCTAAACCTGTGACCTGATGAGGCTTCTTGTCACAGAACGAGGCAGAAAATATGTTCCATAGGCTACTTTAAAAAGAATACATCGATGGCTTGAATAACACAGATAAACTATATTGTCGCAGTCGAGTGTTTATCGTCATTGTTTTGTTATTCAAAACATTTATGTTCTGTTTACTCGGTTACAGCTATAATAGCGATGCCTTTGTCCATATGAGGGATTTCCTGGAGGGTCTTGAGTTCTGTTACTTCTGTGAATGGATGTGTGGGTTTTCTGTGCGAGGGCGCCCTCTGGCGTACAGTGTGAATGAAACACATCATGTGTTTATAGTGCTAATGGCCAATCCATCATTTTTGGGGGAATTAATTTTTTAATAAGTATCAGTTCAGGCACCGTTTTAAAAGTATCGATTTGGCACCGGTATCGATACCCAACCCTACCAATGAGGCCTATGATGAATCGGTTTCAAAAAGAAACCCATTTTTTGTGACTAATCTCCGATTTCAGACTTTGCTGAACAGGACGGCGGTAACCAGAGCGAAGCCGGTGAGGAGGAAAGCCACTTTATGGATGCGATGCGAGCCCGATTCCTGCCACACGGACTCCAGCACACACACGTTGATGAAGATCCCAGCCGTCAGCCCCTCCACGGCACAGCGCACCAGCTGGACCTGAGGCCCGTCCATCAGCCCTTCCAGCGCCAGAGCCGTCCCGATCCCAGCCGGACACGAGACGGAGAACAGCAGCAGAGCACCAGCCACCAGCGTCCGGCGGAGCGCGTGATGGGTCAGACGCACAGCCAGACTGAAGGCCACGAGGGCCTTGTGGAGCAGCAGCGTCACACACGTCTCCAGCAGCCGCTCGCGCTGACACCCCACGCTCACACCCTCCAGGAACGCACGCACACACACACAGAAGAGCAGGAGAAACACACGCAGACCGGCATCCACCGCGCACGAGGACAGACTGCTTCTGGAGCGATGGGGGTCTACGAGCGCCTGCTTCTCCAGAGACACGTCAGACGTCTGCTCTCTGAACGCCAGCAGCATCTGCTCCACCACAAACACCAGCAGAAACCCCATGGCCAGGAGGAACTCGGATAAAGGGTAGTGAAGCTGCGCACAGACGGAGACAGAGATATAACTTTGGGATCAGTGAGACTTGTAATGTTTTTTAAAGAAGTCTCTTCTGCTCATGCATTTATTTGATCAAAAATACAGAAAAAAACAGTAATCTTGCTAAATGTTATTACAATATAAAATAATAGTTTCTATTTTAAATAAATGCTCTTCTTTTTAACTTTTTATTCACCAAAGAATCCTGAAAAAAGTATCATGGCTTCCAAAAACAATATTAAGCAGCACAACTGATAATAAATCAGCATATTATACTGATTTCTGAAGATCATGTGACACTGAAGACTGGAGGAATGATGCTGAAAATACAGCTGCGCATCACAGAAATACATTACAGTTTAACAGAGATTCACATAGAAAACAGCTGTTTTAAATTAGAATAATATTTCACAATTTTTACTGTATTTTTGAACAATAAATGCATCCTTGCTGAGCAGACTTCTTTGTAAAACCTCATCAGAGCAGACTCACGGTGATGTGCAGACGGCTGAAGGTGTCTCTCATGTGGTTCAGAAAGTCCGGCAGAAGCTCCAGCAAACAAGAGGCCAGGAAAACCCCGCAGGCCAGACACGACGCCAGACTCAAAACCCTGTGCCGAGAGCCTTGAAACACACAGACAGACACTTCATTAACATACCACAGTCATGAGAAAGTTCCCATTAGAGTTTTTTGGCACTAGAGTGAAATGTGAGCTTCATCATGAGACCTGGATCTGAGCTGAAGCGTGTGGCTCGTCTCATGACACACACAGGACTGAATCCACACAGCAGACAGAAGCCCAGCATCAGCACCAGTGCGAGGAGCTTGATGTGAAGAAGCCCAGGAGAAACACCTGAGGAGTCCATCACCTGCAGCACACTGACACACTTCACCAGTTCAGCAGGGCTTACCAACACACAGACTAAAGCTGATGATCTGAGTTCTTGAATCTCTTCTGGTCTAAACTTCTGTTAAACTAACCTTTAACAGCTGTTCGCACACTGACGAGCTTATTTTCTAGAAACCCGGTGTTTTGTGTATGTGAGATGAGCACTCGGGCTTTAATCGTGGCTGTTGTTCCAGTATGTGCTCCGCTTCTTTTCCTGTTTTCGGGAAACTGACGGTGAGTCACCTTCTCCGAATCTGATTCGGTTCAGTGAACGAGTCGTTTGTCCAAATGATTCAGGACTCGTTTGCTGATTTCGGAATCGCATGCTAGCAAACTGCTCTTACTATTTTTCATCACATCTTTCTAAAGCAATAATAGAAAGAGTGGGATGCGAGTATTCGGTTCCGAATTCAACATAGCAACTCAATTGATTCATTAAAAAGATCCGGCTCAAACGAGCGAGTCATTTGCGAATCGGGTATCAATATGACTCACAGCTGTCCAGAACTTGTCCAAACCTGCACAAGGAACAGCATAAGCATGAATTAAATGCCTGTAGCCAGTGATTATTATTATATAGCTTTTAGTACTGCTGCTGGACATTAGATGCATAACGCGAAACATTATGTAAGCAGTCCGAGTAGAATTCCATAAACATAATCAATAGTTGAGATCGATTGTTTTGGAAGTTGAGCACATATCAAAGTCTTTATGAGTCATTAACAACACACATCTTCTCTATATTATTTGTACTCATGGCTGGTAATAGAAAATCCTCCCCAGCAATCTCTATAAAATGATTACAGATTATGTTTACGTAACCACAAACGAATCTGATTGGTCCAGGAACAGGTATCACGTGGCCTCGCCGTGTACGTGATTCTTTTTCAAACGTCTAAAACATAATTTACACCTGAATAGCGACAGTGAGGAGCTTTAATACACATCTAAGTGAAAACAAGCAGTCATGGGTTAACGTAGAATAATTATTATTATTCGTATCTCTTCGTACGCGTGACGCGCTATTGGTCAGCGTCTCTCCAGAGCCCCGCCCACACGCTGAACGCGGATGTGAGTTACACCGACTCGAGTGAAGCAGAAGATCCGGGTCCGCACGGAGAAATATCCGCGTTTGCTCGCAGAGTAAGCCGAACACGCGTGTGTGAAGGATGCGGGAAGCAGAGTGAGTGGGTGTGTGTGTGTGTGTGTGTGTGAGAGAGAGAGAGAGAGAGACAGAGAGGTAGAGTTCATTGTTGAAGCTCCGCCTCCTCCTGGTCACGTGTCACTGAACCTGAGACAGACAGGCTGTTTACTTCTACACTGCAAAACATGTTTGTCATTTTTACAGAAAAATACTGTAAAAATAATAAGATACTATAGACAAACCCATTGTTTTTTCATGCACTGGTCAGTTTGGAGATGTTGGGTTATTTAGCTTTTCATAGTGTTTTTGTTTTTCAGAGTAGTGGAAAGAAAACATCCCAAATCCACATTTTATGTGTTTGTTTTTTTAATATTTGAGTTATTTGTGTTTGTAGATTTCAATTCCAGTACATGTCACTAAAGGCTGTGGGTTTTTGCTTCACTTCGTCAGCTAAACTTGACGTGTTTTAATGTGTGTTGTGTCTGTTGTAGGGTGCTGAGGAGGTTCTGGAGAGCGGCCTGCTCCTGGAAGAGTCTGGAATACTGTACGCTGGACTGGAGCGACACACGGAGGACTGGAGCGTCGAGCCGCGCTGTGTGAGTGAATACAGGAATAATCCAACCAAAGATTAACATTAGCTGAAAATGTGTTCATCCTCAGGCCATCTGAGATCAGGATGAGTTTTTCTTCATCAGGTTCTGAGAAATGTAGCATTGCATCAGTGACATTGAATATTGAATTGTTTCAGTAACTTTTAAAAATGCATTAAAGGAATAGTTCACCCAAAACTGAAAACTCAGTCATCTGCAAGTGAATGGGTGCCGTCAGAGCGAGAGCTGATAAAAACATCACAATAATCCACAGCACTCCAGTCCATCAGTTAACATCTGGAGAAGACAAAAATGTCTTAATGCTGGATTAGTTTCAGCTTTTGTCTTCTCCAGATGTTAACTGATGGACTGGAGTGCTGTGGATTACTTGTGGATTATTGTGATGTTTTTATCAGCTGTTTGGACTCTCATTCTGACGGCACCCATTCACTGCAGAGCATCCATTGGGAATCAAACCCATGACCTTGGTGTTGCGAGCACCATGAGATTACTTGTGGATTATTCTGATGTTTTTATCAGTTGTTTGGACTCTCATTCTGACGGCACCCATTCACTGCAGAGCATCCATTGGGAATCAAACCCATGACCTTGGTGTTGCGAGCACCATGATCTGCTGATTGAGTGCTGTCCTGAAGCGTCTCTCTCTTGTGTTCCAGAGTTTGAATGATAGTGAATCTGAGGAGGTTCTGAACGCCATGAACCCGAACGAGATGTACACGTCAGCGGTGTGTGAGAGCGACAGCGGTCTGTCTGAAGATCAGTCCTCAGACGGAGCCCACGAGCAGAACCTCGGTAACACCGTCTATCAGGTGGTGTATGACATCAGCGGTGTGGGCGGAGCCTCGGAGCAGCAGACGCCACAGATGGACGTGATCTCCATCGAGCTGGGTGAGCGGCATCATGGGAAATGTAGTTTCCCCCTCTAATTCTGCTATTAGACATGATTATTTCAAAATAAGTTGAATTGATATGAACAGATGGGAGCGTATACCATTGACTACCATCTTCAGAGCTCACAGCAGGCTTGTCTCTAAAGGTTTGTCAGTCATTGATGTTCTCGTGTGTCTCTGTTCAGATGAGTGGAGCTCTCAGATGCTGCTGGCCGACTCGTGTGTGGTCAACGAGCTGGTGTCGTCTGTCAAAGTGGAGAACGTTTCTGCTCACCACGTGCAGAACGTTCAGAACCCCGATGGTTTTATGGTACGTTTGTTCTGCATTCAGGTGAATGGTGAGGCTTTAGCTGCTGCTGCTGATGATTTAACTCTCCTCAGGTTTATCCTGATCTCCAGCTCACAGAGGAGGAGCAGAAGCTGCTGGATCAAGAGGGAGTCTCACTGCCCAACAACCTGCCCTTAACAAAGGTGTGTGTGTGTGTGTGTGTGTGTGAGTGTGTGAGAGAGAGTGTGTGTGTGAGTGAGTGAGTGAGTGTGTGTGTGTGAGAGAGAGAGAGAGAGAGAGAGAGAGAGAGAGAGAGAGAGAGAGAGAGAGAGAGAGAGAGAGAGAGAGAGAGAGAGAGAGAGAGAGAGAGAGAGAGAGAGAGAGAGAGAGAGAGAGAGAGAGAGAGAGAGAGAGAGAGAGAGAGAGAGAGAGAGAGAGAGAGAGAGAGAGAGAGAGAGAGAGAGAGAGAGAGAGAGAGAGAGAGAGAGAGAGAGAGAGAGAGAGAGAGAGAGAGAGAGAGAGAGAGAGAGAGAGAGAGAGAGAGAGAGAGAGAGAGAGAGAGAGAGAGAGAGAGAGAGAGAGAGAGAGAGAGAGAGAGAGAGAGAGAGAGAGAGAGAGAGAGAGAGAGAGAGAGAGAGAGAGAGAGAGAGAGAGAGAGAGAGAGAGAGAGAGAGAGAGAGAGAGAGAGAGAGAGAGAGAGAGAGAGAGAGAGAGAGAGAGAGAGAGAGAGAGAGAGAGAGAGAGAGAGAGAGAGAGAGAGAGAGAGAGAGAGAGAGAGAGAGAGAGAGAGAGAGAGAGAGAGAGAGAGAGAGAGAGAGAGAGAGAGAGAGAGAGAGAGAGAGAGAGAGAGAGAGAGAGAGAGAGAGAGAGAGAGAGAGAGAGAGAGAGAGAGAGAGAGAGAGAGAGAGAGAGAGAGAGAGAGAGAGAGAGAGAGAGAGAGAGAGAGAGAGAGAGAGAGAGAGAGAGAGAGAGAGAGAGAGAGAGAGAGAGAGAGAGAGAGAGAGAGAGAGAGAGAGAGAGAGAGAGAGAGAGAGAGAGAGAGAGAGAGAGAGAGAGAGAGAGAGAGAGAGAGAGAGAGAGAGAGAGAGAGAGAGAGAGAGAGAGAGAGAGAGAGAGAGAGAGAGAGAGAGAGAGAGAGAGAGAGAGAGAGAGAGAGAGAGAGAGAGAGAGAGAGAGAGAGAGAGAGAGAGAGAGAGAGAGAGAGAGAGAGAGAGAGAGAGAGAGAGAGAGAGAGAGAGAGAGAGAGAGAGAGAGAGAGAGAGAGAGAGAGAGAGAGAGAGAGAGAGAGAGAGAGAGAGAGAGAGAGAGAGAGAGAGAGAGAGAGAGAGAGAGAGAGAGAGAGAGAGAGAGAGAGAGAGAGAGAGAGAGAGAGAGAGAGAGAGAGAGAGAGAGAGAGAGAGAGAGAGAGAGAGAGAGAGAGAGAGAGAGAGAGAGAGAGAGAGAGAGAGAGAGAGAGAGAGAGAGAGAGAGAGAGAGAGAGAGAGAGAGAGAGAGAGAGAGAGAGAGAGAGAGAGAGAGAGAGAGAGAGAGAGAGAGAGAGAGAGAGAGAGAGAGAGAGAGAGAGAGAGAGAGAGAGAGAGAGAGAGAGAGAGAGAGAGAGAGAGAGAGAGAGAGAGAGAGAGAGAGAGAGAGAGAGAGAGAGAGAGAGAGAGAGAGAGAGAGAGAGAGAGAGAGAGAGAGAGAGAGAGAGAGAGAGAGAGAGAGAGAGAGAGAGAGAGAGAGAGAGAGAGAGAGAGAGAGAGAGAGAGAGAGAGAGAGAGAGAGAGAGAGAGAGAGAGAGAGAGAGAGAGAGAGAGAGAGAGAGAGAGAGAGAGAGAGAGAGAGAGAGAGAGAGAGAGAGAGAGAGAGAGAGAGAGAGAGAGAGAGAGAGAGAGAGAGAGAGAGAGAGAGAGAGAGAGAGAGAGAGAGAGAGAGAGAGAGAGAGAGAGAGAGAGAGAGAGAGAGAGAGAGAGAGAGAGAGAGAGAGAGAGAGAGAGAGAGAGAGAGAGAGAGAGAGAGAGAGAGAGAGAGAGAGAGAGAGAGAGTGTGTGTGTGTGTGTGTGTGTGTTGTGATGAATTCGGCTCTAACAGGACTGATGTCTCACAGACTGAGGAGAGAATCCTGAAGAAAGTGAGACGGAAGATCCGGAATAAACTCTCGGCGCAGGACAGTCGCAGGAGGAAGAAGGAGTATATCGACGGTCTGGAGAGCAGGTGAGACCCAAACACACCTGTTCCCTTCCCTAATACACGTCCTAGTCTTAATGTTTGTGTTTCCTTTCCGGCTGACATCACTGAGGTGTGTGTTTGCATGGCAGTGGTCAAATTACAAATGTTAAATGAGTTATGAATGTCTGAATTGTTTCTCATGAGGATGTGAGCTCATTTCAACATTTGCAACATTTTCTCCCTGCACCGGTGTAAAACTGCCTGGCCAAATTAACTACCGTCTTTTGACATACACCAAGGTCATGCGATAATTTAATTGCCATCCGAATCCACATCCACTTTGCAAGATAGAATTTATGTATTGTAAATCCTTTTGCCATGCAAATGTATCTTTGCATATTTTTATAGAAAGAGTTACTGTCCGAATAGGGCAATAGTTAGAGCTGAACTCTGTGTGTGTGTGTGTGTGTGTGTGTGTGTGTGTGTGTTACAGCTGCGCATCACAGAAATACATTACAGTTTAACAGATACTCACATAGAAAACAGCTGTTTTACATTCTAATAATATTTCACATTTTTACTGTTTTTACTGTATTTTTGAGCAAATAAATGCAGGCTCGGTGAGCAGAAGAGACTGTCAGTAACATTATAAATCGTACTGATCCCAAACC